CTGGTATCATCAATGTCTATCTGAAGTTGCCACTATGAGTTATCTCGTAGCTACATCAATTGTATTTTGAAACAAGTTTCACATGTTGGCAGAAGAGGCACAAGAAGCAATCATCTCCAGGCAGTAGCAAAGAACGCCAGGAGACGTTTGTGTCTTGTGCCTATTTTACCAACGTGTGGAACTTGTTTCAAAATACTATTTTGCCAATACAAGTTATATTCCCCATCAAAAGTTTAGACTCACTTAAAACACACACTATATGTTATGTATATATATATGGTTACACCAAAGATGAATTTCTCAACTAACTTGGGGGAACTAACTGCAAACCTTATGCAGATAAATTGCACAAGGATCATGCATCAACTTGCTGAAAAGCATGTGCAAATATCATGCATGTGAACAGCTTCGTTTTGGTGTAAAGTTTTGTCAAGAATTCGCCAATTTTTACTGATTTTTATCATTTATTGAACTCATGACAATAATCATTTCAGCATTATGAATTTGTTTTACAATACATCAGGTCATGTGTAAAAAGTACCTTTAAACAGTATTGAATATCTTGCAAAATTTAGTTTAGAACAGTTGACTGAAGTAAGTGGCTACATTTACACTAGTGAGTCTAAACTTTTGATGGGTAGTATATCTCGTAGTGGCAAATTCAGCCAGAATAGGCAGTCAACGTGTTAACAAACATTATTTTTAAATGATGATACTAGGGGGCACAACCCCCATAGCCCAGTGATTAAAGTGTTTGCTCGTCACGACGAAGACCCGGGTTTGATTCCCCACATGGGTAAAATGTTTGAAGCCCATTTTTAGTGTCACCTGTTATGATATTGCTGGAATATTGCAAAAAAGCGGCGTAAAACTGATGATGAAACTTAGGCTTCACCAATCTAATGTGTGCTGTTGACTGTTAGCCTAACCATTAAATAAAGTAAGAGGCCGTGGGAAATGTGAATACTGCATCACTTAGTATACAAGCCTAATTTCTCTTTAAGATCACACATACTGAAAGAAATAGGCAAAGTCAAGTCAACATTGATTATATGGTTTGTCCTTAAGTGTAGTCAGATGACTTAGCAGGATCTTAGAATTGAATGTAAGGTGAGGTGAGGTGAGGTCAAATTGGGTTTGACGTCGTGCTTGAGAATATTTCGCTCATATGATGACGTGCATGCGTGTGTATGTGCGGCTGCTTGTACTAGCCCAGACTGAAACTGGTTTTATACTAGTGCTAGCCCACTGAGATAACATGCCGCAGTGAAGCATGAATACCCCACTCAGACACATTATACCGACTCTGAGCCGACCAGTCCTTGTTGTACCCATTAATGCCGAGCGCCAGGCAGGGACCAACAAGTACCATATTTTAACGTCTTTTGGTATGACGCGCTCGGGGATCGAACCCGCGACCTTCCGCTCTCTGGGCGGACGCTCTATTGAATGTAAGGAGGCAGTGTGATATTTCTACTAAGCAACACCATGTCAGATCTAACTGTACTTGACTCAGTGGTTGACAACAAAGACCTGTCACCCACAGCTGGCGACTGTCATAACTGCTTGATCGACTTATGTAAACAAACTGTGACTGTGCCAGTGTAAATTGTTTAGCAGGAGCTTTGATATCTGATTTATGTCATGTTTCATTGGCGTGAATCTGATTATCTCTTTCAACACCAGTCAACCAGAGGCATTTACTGCCATGACACCGAGTTCCCAGAGACTCTGAGGTCATAGATGAAGCCTATGTTTATGAAGGAAATTATAAGCTTGTAAAACGTTATTGCTACTACATCCCATACACCATTTAAAAGATCTAATCCTACTGTTGATAAATATGAAGTTTATTTTTATAATATTATTCAAATAATACAACTACAACTTAAATAAATTTATTTTTGAATGAAAATGCGAGCTTACATTTATAACGTCCAGATAAACCACGAAAGGAGCAACAACTATGGCGATTTTTTCCATTTGTGACATGTCATAACATGCCCGTGGCTTTTTCTTTTATATTTTCATCAGAAAATTATTATAAAAAGATTTCTTAAATACTATGTATGGTCGCCTATTTCCGGATATCTGTGGCTTTCCGCTCTGTAACATGACCTAACAAGGGAAAATACCTCCGTTTTCGAAGCTCCGTATGAATAACATGCGAGGCGAATCGTTTGATGTCGGGCATCGTTCGAAATCTCTGAACATCAACAATATCACTGTACCCTTGCCAAGAGTATTTTCACAGTTGTAAGAAGCGATTTTATTGGATAAAGATTGGTTTCTAATGACACTTTTTCGCCACAGTCTGCTATAAGGGCCGTGATTGGTCAAAATCAGACACGTGACCTCAAGCAGCCAATCATATTACGGCAATGGATACCATCCTCGTAAACGGAAAACTTTTAGATTTTGACAAAAGTTTTGGGTAAAATAATGCTATTTTGAACATATTAAGCAAGAAATCGCTAACTATACATAAATTATGGAACTTATTGGACGTATCGTACTAGGTTATGACCTGTGACAAAAATGCTTCATGTATATTTTCGCATTAAACATCGTGTCCGAGCGTGAAGATTGAGGCGGCGAGAGCCGAGATGTCACTTGTGAGTGACTTGACTTACATTACATGATCGCACAAAAAGATGGAAATAGTCATTTTATATGTACGTTTGACAACTTTTATGAATGTTGTTGTTGATTTTATTCATTAGTTTATTCAATTTAATTAATGAATTCCTCGAAACATCGTTACTTTGCTCTATGACAATGTTATTGTGGACCCGCTGCCCCGAAGCATGTGTCCGAGAATCGTTGTTTTCAATAAAATTGCGAAAAATAGTTTATAATTTTAATTCTGCTGATAATATATGATAAATTGAAATTTATTAAGTGTTTTCAGACATTGTGAAATGTGATAGATTTAATATATGAATCATAAGTCAGGTAGGTTCCTAAAATTATGTCTCATTTTGACGTGACTACTGCCTGGCCGATTAATCGGCCTCCGGTGTCTGGGGACTCATAACATTGTGGCCGATTATTCGGCCTGCGGTGTTGAATGGGTTAAACAATAATCTCATGTCCATATCTCCCTATTCCATGTGTTAAGGTATGGGAGTTCACCTTAGTGCCAAGGTATTGCTTTGTACAACGGCACCCAGGATTTTCTGCCAGTCAACACCAGTATCAGAGTTCAGGCAGCAAGGTATGCCCAATCACTTGTATGGCCAGTTTATGGCACCAGAACCTTGAACCACATATAAAATGTACCGGTAGTGGAGTCAGTCTAGCGGCACTATAATCATCCTGGTGTAGCTGATGGGATCTCCACTCAGTAACCATACAGTCCAGGTCTTCACTCAGGCATGGATGTTTATGTGCAGTTGTTGGAAAGTAGCACTTTGTAATTAGTTGCTGGTAAGTAGCTCATGAAAAGCATGCTCCTGAGTGACCAGTGGTAGAAGGGAGGAGGCCCCATCAAGTTGCAGAAAAATAGACCATGAAACAGCATGAACATTTATGACCATGTAGGCGGCAGTTGTAATTGGTTGCTGGCAAGTAAATGAAAAGGAATTCTCAAGTTTTACCAGGTTGATGGCAAGTGTGATTAGTTGTAGGTATGCAGTACATGAAAGATCATGCACATTTGTGACCTGGAATGTAGGTGGTAATTGTAATTAGTTGCAGGCAAGTAGTACATAAAAAGGCCTGCACATTTGTGAGCAGGAATGTAAGTGATAATTGTGATTAGTTGCAGGCAAGGTGTACAAGAAAAAACTGCACATTTATGAACAGGAATTTATGTGATAATTGTCATTTATCTTGTTTGATTTTTATTTGATTTAATTTGGTAATTGTAATTAGTTGCAGGCAAGTTACACATGATAAAGCCATCACATTTATGAGCATAAATGTGAGTGGTAAGTGTAATTTTTTGGTTTTTTTATTTTTATTTATTCATTTTGGTAATTTTAATTAGTTGCAGGCAAGTTGTACGTGAAAAAGCCTGCATATTTCTGAGCATGAAGGTTAAGTGATAATTGTAATTTTGATTTTTGATTGTTCTGTTTGGTAATTGTATTTTTTCCCAAAACATATTTACTCAACAAGCATGACTTAAACATTATGAACATGATAATCATTATTTGTTTTAATCTGTTTGGTAATTGTAATTAGTTGCAGACAAGTAGTACATACGCAACACGTACACAAGAGTGTGTAGATAAATACATGATATATAAGTAGTGGGAGAAATAGAAAGTGCTTATCATCAGTTGTAGGCAAGCAGCACCTGATGAAAGCGTGTGCCCCTCCTGTTGATGGTTTTGGTTGTGTCTGTCATGCCTTGGCCTGGTTTCCAACTGTGTGCTTGTAATCAATGAACAGGCAATAACCTAGGTTGGGTAAACCTGGGATGAGCACCACATGAACACAGATGATAGGCTATTTGTGGCAGTCACACATTGTTCTGTTTAGTAACCAGATCCTGGTATGAATCAGCAGGAACAGAACTTTATACATTTAGCATGATTAAATATGTTATAGATCTGAGGCAGAATAGATCTGTATAACCTCTTGTGGTGAACCAAGCACGAAATTAGTGAACATGTTCAGTGGATATCATTTGTGCTTGATAGGAAAGACACTTAGCTGAACTGACTCATGTGAGTTCAGCTATCTTCAGTTGTGTCCACATTGAAAAGGTTGTATCTTTGGTTAGTGACTTTATTCAAAATGTTTCAATTTTTTTTTTTGGTTTTGGATTGTTTTTTTTGACTTGTGTGGAGAGTGAAAGAGTTTCAATGAACACTGATGAGACTGTGTTTGTTCATGTAATGTTCTGATGCTAAGCCCGAGATGTTTGCAAATAATGAAGCCTCTAGACTGGGTCTGTGATCAATGTATGGACAAGACAGTCCAGTGATCAACGTCATGAACATCGACCACTGGCATGCAAACGACCACTGACATGCAATCGACCAAGTCACGGAACCTGACTGCCCGATCGATTATTTGTCTTTTATGACAAGCATTGATTGCTGGGGTCTATATTCTTTCCCATGATCCACCTTCATTCATACTGGTGTTGGGAATTGGTTAACATTTCAGAATTGATTATTGGTTCATTACAACCGATTAATCACTGAAAGTAATTGGTTAGTGTCCTAAATTTCCTGCTATGGTTGTTAATGCACAAAACAATAAAGAAAAAATATGTAGTTCTTTGGGTTTTTTGCAAATTGCACAAAATGCATTTGTAAATTTCTCATCTTTAAGGATGACTCATATGTTAGGAACATAAATTTCCTGGAGTCTTTAAGATAAATTCAATCATAACTTGGGACGAGCTTGTAGTGATTTTGAAATGTAAATTTTATGACAGACAAAACCAACCTTGTGACAAATATTGTTCATGCAAACAAGTGTTCCAAAATTGTTTGTGTTCGATTATGAGAAAACATGATTGATTGCTTGGTCATTTAGTCACTGCGACCAATCTTCGATTATTTATACTAATCGGACCATCAGTAACTTTCCATGCTGATCACTGATTTGTTTAGAGGCAGTGTTTGATGCTCAACACTGACCGTGTATAGAATATTTGTGTGAGGACCGGTTAAATTTTATGAATGTTTGTCCATAATTTTCTGTTAATTTATGACTAGCTGGTGTATTACATACATTATCTGGGAAAAGATGAAAAGTAGACCTTTTGCAAACAAATAGATCTCTGCAGTTAATCAGCTTTAGTTAGAATTAGAATGAATTAATACTATTTATGTTTCTGTTTGGTCAGCACAATTGTGTCTAGTAAAGATCTACTTGTCTGCTGAACAGACCCTGGAACAAATATACCCAATAAATACTGTACTGTCCGATATGTATTTAACCATGCTATACTACCCATCAAAAGTTTAGACTCACTGAAAGCACTCACTATATGTTATGTATATGTATGTGGTTACATCGAAGATGAATTTCTCCACCAACTTGGGGGGAACCAACTGAAAACCTTATGCAGATGAATTGCACAAGGATGATGCTTCAAATTGCGAAAGGCATGAGCAAATGTCGTGCATGTGAACAGATTCGTTTTGGTGTAAAGTTTTGTTAAGAATTCGCCAATTTTCACAGATTTTAATCATTTACTGAACTCATGACAATAATCTTTTCAATGTTACGAATATGTTTTACAATACACCAGTTCATAACTAAACAGTACCTTTAAACAGTATGGAATATTTTGCAAAAAAGCTAGTTTAGAACAGTGGACAAGTAAGTGGCTACATTTACACTAGTGAGTCTAAACTTTTGATGGGTAGTATATATAAACTGACAGGCAAAAGTTAGTATAACGTTTTCAATTTGGTTTGGGGAAATTGAGCATGTCTAAATTCCAATGAAACATCCAAAGCAAACATTGTCAAAGTCACGAGAATATTGCAGAATGGTAGTGATGTCAGTAGATGTAGTCACGTGACCCCTAGCACGAGAAAAAGGTATAACATGTAATCTTTGAAAATCACGAACATGCACGTGCACCAGTCGGGTAGAAATGGGATGGATACACGCTGGCATATCACAGTAACTGAAAGCACATGCAAAAATGCCGAAGCTGACACAAATTCAGCGAGAGCGAGCCATTGAATGCGCGATATGGGAGCTACCCAAGCTCATCTTGCCAGAACGTTCGGCTGTACCCCAGCAACAATCTCCAGGCTGTTCACACGCTACCGGAATACTGGTAGCACTCAAGACAGGCCGAGAAGTGGACGCCACGGGTCACTACACCCATAGAAGACCGCTACATCCGGACTATCCATCTCCGAACAGGTTCGCGGACGGCAACGCCGACGGCGGCTCACGGCACTCGGGCATCGTATCAGTCGTCGCACAGTGACCAAGATTGAGATTAGCTGGTATAAGGGCTTACCGGCCTTTCCACGGAATGGTCCTGACCCTCAGACATCGCCAAAACAGACAGCGGTGGGCAAGGCAAGTATACAGGTGCCAAGTCCGAGATTGGCGGCGTGTTCTCTTTTCCGATGAAAGCCGTTTCACCCTTTACAAGTGTGATGGCAAAGAACGGGTATATCGTCGACGAGGGGAACGTTTAGCAAGGCCATGCATCAGAGAAGTTCATCCATTCGGGCGGGGTGGAGTCATGGTTTGGGGCGGTATCTGTGGAGACCAGAAGACCCGCCTGGTTGTAGTGCAGGGCAATCTCAATGCACGGGGTACATCGGACAGATCCTACAGCCAGTTGTGGTACCCTTCCTACAGAATCAACCCCGGGTGTACTCCTACAACATGACAACGCGAGACCTCACACTGCCAGAGAGACTCGCTACTTTCTGCAACAGAACAATGTTGACGTCCTGCCCTGGCCAACGCGTGCTCACCGGATATGAACCCGATCGAGCACCTCTGGGATCATCTGGACAGGAAGATCAGAGGTCGGCAACAAGTTCCACAGAACAGGCAACAGCTAGAGCAAGCACTCAGAGAGGAATGGAACCGCGATTCCCAATGACGTCATTCGACGTTTGGCGACGTCAATGAGGAGACGTGTGAGGGCATGCATTGACGCAGCAGGGGGTCACACACGATACTGATGTGCACAAGATCCTGTATTCAAGGAATGCCCCTGCTACTGACTCATAAACTCAGATTGTGATAATCGATTTATGCAAAATTCCACCCCTTGCGTGTTTACTTGACAGCGGCTCACAAACTCCTTGCATGAAATTGTTGATTTTTTGTGATTTACAGCTCAAGTGTTTTTTTATTATGATGCATTAAATATTTTTGGGGAATTTCGGTGTATGTCTTTGTTACAGGACGTTCAAAACGTCATATACTAACTTTTGCCCGTCAGTTTACAATGCATATAATGCATTAGAACTGTACTTGGAAATCAAGTTATGACTGACACAGGTCAGCAATCTGGTTCCCCCTCATGGCTGTATATCTGACAGTGACCACTAGACTGAGTCAGTGATTGACTAAAGGATGGTTTTGTGCCATTATAATTTAGCAATATTCCAGCCAGATAAAAGGAGGGATTTTTTAATTTTCTGAGAGATGCCTTGACTTCAGCTTGATCAGCTTTTGACCTGAGCTACTGTACATATGCATGACCCGGGAGGTCAAATGGCAAAAACGGCAGGTTGAGTTAACTTCATTAAATAGGTGAGCAGAGAATGTAATTAATGCTGCGTTTGAAGCAGTCATATGCTACGCTATCTAGCTTGCTTTACTAACTTTACAACGTACAGACGTCAGTTACATTCACAATCCGATTCACTCTCGCTATCACCTGTAGCTTATTTGTTAAAGAAAGTAAGGACATTGCTGACGATTTCTCGTCACTGAGATGTCAAACGGCGACCTTGTCTCGGCTGTTCGGACATGTTGACTGACAATCAACTGACAAAGGTGCACCCATTCACAATAATAGCCCCAACCAGTTGTGACACGGTCACGCAATGCATTAGTATTCACTTGATCAGGTCAAGCTGAACAATCTGTACATCACAATCTTTGGATGTGTGTCTCTTGACAGTTATCTCCCTTTCTTGCAGTCTTCCATCGCTGCGGATGCTGGTGTATGGGTGTGTGTTGCCATTCGTCTGTATGAACATCCTCCACGCCGTCACCACCAAGCAAGAGGTGTCTCCCAAAATCCGGAAACTCCAAGCGTCATGTGCCGATGAGAACTCTTGCCAGGTGGCGCTTGACAAAGAGGAACTGAAAGACAGACTAACTCCTCTAGAATACCATGTGACCCAAGAACGGGGCACGGAGAGGTGAGTAAATGCTTGAATGTCAAGTAACCTGTGCAGAGAGTTTTGCACCAATATTCTGGCTGTAAATAACAACATCATGATGACAGGCCGAAGAGAAGCCTTCCTTACAAGTCAACTCACCTGTGAATATCTGGGTCAGAATTGATCTTCAGCAACATGTATGCTTATCGTAAGAGGTGACTGACATGATCAGTGGTTAGGCTCACTGACATGTCATCGTATCCCAGTTGCATTAATTTGATTAATCGTTGCTCATACTATTGATCACTGGATTGTATGGTTCATTTGATTATTCACAGACTTCTGCCATACAGGTTAATATGGCTCAGTGCAGCATTAAACAACAAACAAACCAGTCAACTCAAGGGAAGCAGGAAAAGGGTGGCCCAGTAGTTTAAGGTGCTGCACAAAATCTGTGATAGTGGGTTTGAATCCAGGTTAGCCATGATGATGTCTCTAGGCTCCTCAGCACTATAAACATGGATGTCAAACAACTGGGCAGTCTCTTTGTTCTTTCCCCCTAATGAAGCTAGCACGTTGTTATCCTTGAAATTCAAACATACTCTTTGTTATAATATTAATATAATAATAAACATAACAGGTTTACTTCAGACATAACTGAGGTCAAAGAGTTGTGATTCTACACTCGCTTCTTCTGTATTTCAAATTATTCGATACAAAGATGACACCAATTCTCCTCTATGGGGCTGAAATTTGGGGGCTTAATAATATGGAAGAACTGGAAAAAGTACATTTATATGCCTGCAAACGTTTTCTAAACGTTAAGTTATCAACGTCCAATAATGGAGTATTAGCCGAGTGTGGTAGATATCCTGTCCAACTATCTGCTGTTTTAAAATGTATTAAATATTGGTTAAATCTTATTAACATGCCTGGATGCCGTTTGCCTCGAAAATGTTACAATATGATGCATATGTATGATGAGCAAGGCTATGAGAACTGGGTTACCAAGGTTAGAAATATGATATTTAAATTAGGTTTTGGTGATGTTTGGGTATAATCACACACTTACAGAGATAAAAACGTTTTTGTTAAAATGTTTTTTCAACGACTGAAAGATAATTTTCGGCAAGTTTGCCATAGTGATTTATCTGAGAGCCCCAAAATGTTTACGTATTGTAATTCTAAATTAACAATTTCTTGTGAAACATACTTAACTCATATTGTTTATCACAATTTAGGTTAAGTTCCCATAGTTTAAAAATTGAAAGAGGCCGTTACTATAGCATTCCCCGGGAACAAAGAACATGCAAAATGTGTAACTTAAACGTAATTGAAAATGAATATCACTTCTTACTTATCTGTCCTGCCTACATTGAATTAAGACGTGAATATCTTTTGTCACAATTCTATGTTTTCCCCAAAATACTAAAATTCAATTCGTTGTTATCATCCAAAAATGAAGACATTTCCTTGAATACTGCTAAATATATGTTTTATGCATTCGAAAAAAGGAAATCAATTTTGTCATATTAAAATTGTATATATTATACATGCTTTCATTGTTATCATTTATTTCATGTCTGCACCGATGAGGTGTTTTTCTCATAGTACCAGAAATAAAGATTTGATTTGATTTGATTTGATTTGGGGTGGTGATTTACCACAACTGTATATAGATATCCAAATAGTGCAGAAAGCATAAAGGTCATCTCTAAGAGTTCTTAACAGTAGGGGTGTCGCGATACGCGAATGTATCGATGCATCGATACATTTTTACTGACGATACGATATGCGATACATGCTTGCGTGTATCGATTCCTATTTCAAAACTTTCTTGATTCAAATTTTTATGCTATATCCATCTTCTTCAAAGTCTTGATAGTAAAATTTTACGAGACCGCTCCGATAAATAGATGTAGCTAGCTTTACTTAAAAAATAGGTTGGAAACTAACAGCTTTTGTGATTGGCTAGACTATTTTGATGGACCAATCAGAGAGCGCTTACGTTGCCGGTAAGGTAATGGTATGAATAGGCGCGAAAATTATGTATCGCGATACGTATCGTATCGTGACCTTAAAATCGTGATACGTATCGTATCGTGAGAATGATGTATCGTGACACCCTTACTTAACAGGCATGCTCCTGATGTAGAAGGATAATGATAGCATCAATTTTTGTACTGCAGGCCATTCTCCGGGAAGTTTGTGAACACGAAGGATGAGGGCATGTACAACTGCGTTGTCTGTGGCAACCCTCTTTTCTCCTCCGACACCAAATACAACTCACGATCTGGTTGGCCTGCCTTCTATGATGTCGTCAACAAGGACAGGGTGGTGCTCAGAGATGACACGTCACAAGGTGAGATGAGAACAAAGTTACCTCCCTTCAGAGGTAGATGCAGAAACCTCATTGACACGTATTTGCGAAGACTCGTGTCACAACTGTTTCCAATAGGAAAGCGAGACATCTTTGACTGCCTTTGTAATATTTTGAGAGTTATCTCCCTTTATTATACAGAGTTATCTTCCTAGCTAATTTGTTAAGAAAGTTATGTCATGCGATTCTGACTCCTTTTCACTCAAAGCTCAAGAAAGATTTGATTAATGACTGGATATGACCTGCATATGACGTCATTAATTCAGGTATTTAACAATAAGACAATAAATTAAACAGCTAGTGAGGAATGTTTGTCAAATATTTTTCCTAAAAATCGAAATTGCCAATGTCTCCTAAACTTTTGAAATGATGACTGATTTGTCATTCATAATAATAGATATCTTATATGACAGTTGTCTAATCTTTATTTTCATGATAACTGATAATCTTCACCTGCAATTGAATAAACCCGAAAAATGACTCATTGTGAAACCTGGCCATGCCTAAACATTGTTGAATGACATTTTGGTGTGTATGAGTCAAGCTTTGCACACATCCTACATGCACTATTAAGTGGGATAAGCAATCAAATAATCCTTTCACAAACAAAACTGACAAATAGTATAGACCCAAAAGTAAAATTAGGATTTTGGTATCATCAGGTATGGAACGTGTGGAGGTTGTGTGTTCACACTGTGGGGCCCACCTTGGCCATGTGTTCCACGACGGACCAGTACCTACAGGACAGCGATATTGTGTCAATTCAGCGGCCTTGACCTTTACTCCCCAAAATCCTCAAAAGGAAACTTCACACTCCAGTGGTGACCTGTAGATTTTCCGTCCATGTAACTGCTGAATAAAATGGAAAGCCAATAAAGTTGATTGACATCTGATGTGTGATTGTATGATATAAATTGGACAGCAGGGTTCAGCAGAAGTCAGCAAATTGTCACTGAGTTTGGCATAGTGGCGTATGGTGCTGAATTGCCAGGTGCAGAATCCATGAGTATTCTCTTTGGTTGGTCAGAACCATAATAGCATGTGTATCCTGGAATCAGCGTTTAAAATTCCCGCCTGCTCGACCGTCTGGAACGCTCTATTTTCATCTCGGACAGTCAAATTTCAAAAGCAGCCTGTCCGGTGGTCTGGTAGATATTTTTACCCCTAAAAGTAAATATTTAATAATATCAGACAGGTTCTCTTGTCGTCAGGTTGAGGTGTTTAAGGTATTATGATAATTATGTTAAACTGCTTACAATTGGACAGTTCATGTTACGATGACCAATCACAATCATGTACTTTCAGTTTACCTAAAAAACTCGGTGCTGTGTAGTTTACCAAAGCCTACAAACAGTGAAAAAACGAGTTGGAAATGGCAGTCACAGTTCTTAATTGTTGAAAACCAGTCAGGCAAGTGTATCCGGACTGGTTCTTTTAGATTACCAGTCAGGCAAGCCTGGTAATCAAGTTACCAGTGAATGGAGTAATCTTTTAGAGTTACCAGTCAGGCAAGTATGGAAATGAGCAGTCAGGCAGTATCGGACTGGTAATTGTTAGAAAACCAGTCAGGCAAGTTCTGTATCGGACTGGTAATCTTTTAGAGTTACCAGTCAGGCAAGTTCAGTATCTGTATCGGACTGGTAATCTTTTAGAGTTACCAGTCTAGCTGTCTGGTAATCTTGGAATTTTGGGATCTTTTTTAAACACTGCTGTAATTTTTTTGTTTCTGAACTGTACTTGGAATTTTGGGAGTTTTAAACACACTGAGAGGCCCATAGTAAAAGTAAAAGTGTTTATACATGTTAACCTCTGCACAGAGGCTTGTAACACAGAAACCTAGCAACAGGGTATATATTGTAACTGGGTCTGAGCACTATATACCGGTATGCTCTTAAAAAAGTAGGGGAACTGAACTTTCAATTTGGATAGGAAGATAAGCGCTTACAAACTTTTCAAAGACAGAAATCTTATGAACGCACCACCATTTCTCTTTATCACCACCCCTACACACAACACATGGGAAGCACATGCACAACGCACTTAGATACACATGCATGGGGTGTCATTCTTGATTTTGACGGTTTTCAAGAAGGTTGATAAATCACTGTAGACCGTTAATTTTGACAATCATCTTGCATCACACAGTTGTTAGTGTTTGTTTAAAGCCATTTTAAAAAAAACAAAAAAAAATAAAAATTGTGCACCTGCAAATTTCATGTCATACACCAATCATCTTTCAAGAGTGGTTACTGTGCAAACAACTATGGTGATGAAGAAGTGCAAGTTGTGATGCACTCTCAAAACATTCATTATTATCATATCAACATTGATTGACTCTCAATTTTCTCCCAATTTTTTCATTCATAAATTAGAAATGAAGTTATCCTAAATGGCAGAAAACAAAACACACTGATTCAATGACACCTGTCAGTTTGACATAAAACTGTATCGGTCCAGTGATCAAAATAGTGCTGAATTTGTGAGCCATGGCATGGTAAATATTGGAATGCACAGATGAAATATCTTCACTGCGCCTGGCGGCATGCCTAAAATTATACAAATAATATGTACCATGATTCATCTAATGAAAAATGGGATTAATTTTACCAACTCTGCCAACCCAGAAACTGTTATCCAAAGTGAGATTTCCTGTCATGTGCACAGACATTCAGAAAAGCCACGCCCATGTTATGCTGTGAGATCAAGAGTGACACATTAAGCAATGTTTAAATAATATCATAGCAACTGACACCAAAAATGAGCATCACATATTGCACCACTGAAGGATCGAAGAGGGGGGCCACATGTACCACTGAGGGATCGAACAGGGGGATCACATGTATCACTGAAGGATCAAACCCGGGCCACATGCACCACTGAAGGATCAAACCCGGGCCACATGTACCACTGAAGGATCGAACCCAGGCCACATGTACCACTGAAGGATTGAACCCGGGCCACATGTATCACTGAAGGATCAAACCCGGGCCACATGCACCACTGAAGGATCAAACCTGGGCCACATGCACCGCTGAAGGATGGAACCTAGGCCACATGTACCACTGAAGGATCGAACCCGGGCCACATGCACCACTGAAGGATTGAACCCGGGCAACATGTACCACTGAAGGATCGAACCTGGGCCACATGTACCACTGAAGGATAGAACCCGGGCCACATGTATCACTGAATTATCAAACCCGGGCCACATGCACCACTGAAGGATCCAACCCGGGCCACATGCACCACTGAAGGTTTGAACCCGGGCCACATGTACCACTGAAGGATCGAACGCAGGCCACATGTACCACTGAAGGATTGAACGCAGGCCACACGTACCACTGGAGGATTGAACCTGGGCCACATGTACCACTGAAGGATCGAACGCAGGCCACATGTACCACTGAAGGATTGAACGCAGGCCACACGTACCACTGAAGGATTGAACCTGGGCCACATGTACCACTGAAGGATCGAACGCAGGCCACATGTACCACTGAAGGATTGAACGCAGGCCACACGTACCACTGAAGGATCGAACCCGGGCCACATGCACCACTGAAGGATTGAACCCGGGCCACATGTACCACTGAAGGATCAAACCCAGGCCACATGTACCACTGAAGGATTGAACCGGGCCACATGCACCACTGAAGGATTGAACCTGGGCCACATGTACCACTGAAGGATTGAACCTGGGCCACATGCACCACTGAAGGATTGAACCCGGGCCACATGTACCACTGAAGGATTGAACCCGGGCCACATGTACCACTGAAGGATTGAACCCGGGCCACATGGACCACTGAAGGATTGAACCCGGGCCACATGCACCACTGAAGTATTGAACCCGGGCCACATGCACCACTGAAGTATTGAACCCGGGCCACATGCACCACTGAAGGATTGAACCCGGGCCACATGTACCACTGAAGGATTGAACCTGGGCCACATGTACCACTGAAGGATCAAACCGGGCCACATGTACCACTGAAGGATTGAACCCGGGCCACATGTACCACTGAAGGATAGAACCCGGGCCATATGTACCACTGAAGGATAGAACCCGGGCCACATGTACCACTGAAGGATAGAACCTGGGCCACATGTACCACTGAAGGATCGAACGCAGGCCACACGTACCACTGAAGGATTGAACGCAGGCCACACGTACCACTGAAGGATCGAACGCAGGCCACACGTACCACTGAAGGATTGAACCCGGGCCACATGTACCACTGAAGGATCGAACCCGGGCCACATGTACCACTGAAGGATAGAACCTGGGCCACATGTACCACTGAAGGATCAAACCCGGGCCACATATATTACTGAAGGATCAAACCTGGGCCACATGCACCACTGAAGGATTGAACCCGGGCCACATGTACCACTGAAGGATCGAACCAGGGCCACATGTACCACTGAAGGATCGAACCCAGGTCTTTGGTGGTAAAAGCAACCACTTTGACCACTGGATTACTCCATCACCCCTGAACTGAGCATCAGTAGTAGCTCTAAACATTCATTTATACTTAAGTGCAGTGGCAAAATCTCGTAAATAATGTATTGGTGCAGGGTGATCTGGGTTCTGCTTCATTAACTCTGCTGCAGGCAGCAGTCGTTGAGTTGTGTCACTGTGACTCGCGTAGCTTATCATGTGTAAGCAACCAAGATGGATCTGATGCTCACAGTGAATGAATTAATTTTGAAAAGTCACTGGCCAGGAGGACTAGTTAAGTAAAGTGTTCCTAGCCCACATTTATGCTTCACTGGCCAGGAGGACTAGTTAAGTAAAGTGTTCCTAGCCCACATTTATGCTTCATTGGCCAGGAGGACTAGTTAAGTAAAGTGTTCCTAGCCCACATTTATGCTTCACTGGCCAGGAGGACTAGTTAAGTAAAGTGTTCCCAGCCCACATTTATGCTTCATTGACCAGGAGGACTAGTTAAGTAAAGTGTTCCTAGCCCACATTTATGCTTCACTGGCCAGGAGGACTAGTTAAGTAAAGTGTTCCTAGCCCACATTTATGCTTCACTGGCCAGGAGGACTAGTTAAGTAAAGTGTTCCTAGCCCACATTTATGCTTCACTGACCAGGAGGACTAGTTAAGTAAAGTGTTCCTAGCCCACATTCATGCTTCACTGGCCAGGAGGACTAGTTAAGTAAAGTGTTCCCAGCCCACATTCATGCTTCACTGACCAGGAGGACTAGTTAAGTAAAGTGTTCCTAGCCCACATTTATGCTTCACTGGCCAGGAGGACTAGTTAAGTAAAGTGTTCCTAGCCCACATTCATGCTTCACTGGCCAGGAGGACTAGTTAAGTAAAGTGTTCCCAGCCCACATTCATGCTTCACTGACCAGGAGGACTAGTTAAGTAAAGTGTTCCTAGCCCACATTCATGCTTCACTGGCCAGGAGGACTAGTTAAGTAAAGTGTTCCCAGCCCACATTCATGCTTCACTGGCCAGGAGGGCTAGTTAAGTAAAGTGTTCCCAGCCCACATTCATGCTTCACTGGCCAGGAGGGCTAGTTAAGTAAAGTGTTCCTAGCCCACATTCATGCTTCACTGGCCCGGCAACATATCAGTATCAAAATGCACATCGGTCACAACTGCGAAGCTGATTGGATACTAGTTGAGCCTTAGCCAATCAAGTAAACGTTATATTTGTATTGTAATAGTTCCTAACCTCTTTTGCACAATGCTATTAACATTTTTGTATATAGCAATCTTCATGTGACAAGAGATAATAAATATCCCAAAACTTTTAGCGGGCAGACTTTTAACACCTTAATAATTGACTCCATCATATTCATGTGCATTAAATAATGAACAAATTATCTGAGACTTTCAGCTAGCCAGTTAGGATAGCTTTATTGTTATTATTATTATTATAGAATATTTACATAGCGCACATATCCACGCAACTAGTGCATGCTCAAGGCGCTGGTATACTTTTTCCCTCGATCATTAGATGTCAATCTCAACAGCACATCGTTTTATCTATCTCAACTCCCTGGGGAGTATACAACTCTTGCAACCACTAGCCGCACCGAGTTGTTGTGGCTATCTCATCCCAGCGAGGTACAATATAGCTTTAGGCTTTAGCATTTGGCTAGCGGGCAAGTAGTAATTTCAAATGCTGGATGCACACTTGATGGAGGATACATCTGTGTACATGTGAACTAGAACATCAGTGGTCACAGCTGTTTGCTGGTTTTCCCAGGCTGGCTGTAGATCAGCCAGTGTGACTCATTCATCTGTGTGTTGTGAACGTACAGTGTTCTGACAGATTTGACCCACAGACCTTCAAGTCTGAGGTTGAACAACACATCCACATGACTAAAGATGGAATCCTGCCATTTGGCTGTCAAAGTACAGATGTCATTGTATAGATTTTGTATGGGGACTGGATTGTTTTTTCAGCCAGAGCTACTGAAACGGATATTTTTAGAATAAAACTTAAACAAATTCATTGTTTTTAAATATACTCATTTTGGAACTAAGAACACTTTCGTGTTTCCAGCAATCTCAGTCATGACTCGTGTTATGAATAGCATCTACTAGTCAAATAAATATTACTTGCCCATGTAGCAGAGATTAAATACTAGTCTACATGTTAGTAAAGATATCACTGTTATTTCAAATGATATCTTCTGTCTTGCCTTGATGTCAGTGGTCAACGTTCCCTATAAATGCTGCTGGGAATATTATTTTGTAAAAATTTCATCATCAAAGTAGATGACAGAGAAAATTTACCATCTTTTTCAAGTGGTGTTTAACGGTAATGTCCCCTGAAAGGTGTCTTTGTGTAGATGATGTTGTTCAGATGATGTCGTACAGATGATGTTCTGATTGCAGGGATGAAGAAGATGGAGGTGCGATGCGGACTGCCAGTCTCATCTCGGCCACGTGTTCGACGATGGACCCAAGCCGACTGGTGTACGATATTGTGTGAACTCTGTCTCGCTAGAATTCCGGAAACACACAACTGTATAGCACAGAGTTATCTCCCTTGCTGAAGTCAATCTCAGGCTCCATGACGATGCTACAAACAGCCAAAGCTGATTGGACAGTTTGAATCTACTGCATCATGGGATAATATGCAATATCATTGATGGTTTTCTAAAAATGTTTTACCATTGTTATGTAGCATAATGAGTGGAACAGCTTGTGGAAGGCAGGGTAGAGGGCACCTGTTAATGTACCACACACAAATCTTTGGTGACAGAGGCGGAAGATATGATATTGATTCAGTAGACATGATTCATCACCTCTTGTTGACAGATTGTTATTAGGACCATAAACATATCCTAGTCCTGGGACAGATGATGTTA